AATTTGACCAAACCTCGGGAGGCAGTGGAAGACAGGAGGGCCTGGTGTGCTCTGGTCCATGGGGTCACGAAGAGTCAGACATGACTTAATGACTAAACAACAAAATACAATATTAAAATAATGGGGTTTTTTCAGTATTGGCAATGATATCAACATTCATTTCCCTAGTTTGAAAAGTTATGATGCTTAGTTGGAAGGATGTGATATACATCTGGAGGACAGATCCAGGAAGAAATTATTCCCACCATACAGTTTGCAGTTACCATACAGACATCTTCACTGTCTTCTGGGAAACTGTCTTGCATAGAGTTCAAGGTGCTGGGGAAAGAGAAGGAAGGAAAATATCTTTTTGTAGAAGTGTGAGCAGTTCCTGAGGAGGAAGGTCCTCTCCTCCTGGATCTCAGATGTGATTGAGTTCCTTTTTTTTCAGCAGCTGTAACCAGTTGGGTCCTGACTATAAGTACCTTCCAATAGTTGGGGAGCTGGCTGGAAAACTCATTGAGTTTGGTATCTGGCTGTGGAGCCAGAGAATAAGAGTTCAGTACCCCACTGTGCATCCCAGAGGAACAAGCCTGTGTAGCCTTGAGCAACCTGCACAGTCCCAGGGAACCCCCAGAAGAAGGGAATGGTAAACCACTCCTGAGTACATTCTACCTAGAAATCCCTAGGTGGTATCATCATCATCACCACCACCACCACCACCACCACCACCACCATCATTTGTTGTTGTTGTTGTTGTTGTTATTGTTGTTGTTGTTGTTGTTGTTGTTGTTGTTGTTGTTGTTGTTGTTGTCAGGTATATAAAACTGTAGACGTTTGGAGCCACTTGGCTGGCTTATAAAAGTGAACAATGGGGTGTCAAATGTCCTAATCTTTCTTTTTCTTTTTTTTTTGGTCAGAGATTTGTTTTTGTTTTTTTTAAAAAAAGAATAATGATTACTTGCAGGATTAGTGTCTAAAATTATGTTAGCAACTTGGTATAGGTGTAGAAGTGGTCTAGGTGTAGAAGGGAAGGTGACTTTTATAAACCTTTAACTTCTATACAAGGGTTCCACCAAAGAAGAAGAAGAAGAAGAAGAAGAAGAAGAAGAAGAAGAAGAAGAAGAAGAATTGACCAGCCAGCAATCAAAATAAATGTCAGGGCACTCTCTAGTCTTTCTAGATGAACCCCATTGCCAAGGAGATCTCCACTCAGCTCAACTCTAGAAAAATGTATATTAAGAAGGAACTTTGGATTTTTTGAAATTACAGTAAACTTGTGTATGCCTAAAGGTAAGGTTCCCCTGACATTTAGTCCAGTCATGTCTGACTGTAGGGGGCGGTGCTCATCCCTGTTTCCAAGCCACAGAGCCAGTGTTTGTCCGTAGATAGTCCCCAATGTCATGTGGCCAGCGTGACTAGACATGGAACACTGTTTCCTTCCCACCAAGGTGGTACCTCTTTATCTACCCACATTTTAAAATGCTTTCAAACTGCTAGGTTGGCAGGAGCTGGGACAAGCGACGGGAGCTCACTCCATCGCATGGATTTGACCCTATG